ACAAGAGACTGATAAGAAAGAATTACATTAATAGGTTAAAGGTATGAACAGGCAGGATGTAGGGAAGGTATTTAGTGTGCCTTCTACGAAGAATTATTGCTGAGGCAATGAGAAGGAACAAAGGGGGTTTCAGATCCAGCTATGGGAAGTATAGCATTGGCAGGGACATGTACTCTAGGGTGTTTTGTTTACTTTGGGCAGAAGCTTCGTTGACCACTACTTCTTATTAGATAACTGAATTTAGCAGAAATCAAATGTTTGGCAAACTGAGAATAAATCATCATGTTTTGATACAGGGGCTCTTTTAATTCAGATTTTCTTTTTTCATATTTCAATCTTCAGTTTATTGACTGGCTGATCAATATGATGGAATGTCCTAAGGAAGCATTATCAAAATCTTCCATGGACCTGCTGAAAGGTAATATATTTTTAATTGGGTCCTTATTTTTCCATAACTGTCAGTACAGATCAAAATGCAGTTGTTATAAGGAGTGAGGTTTTGTCTTTGAGGTAATTGTCACAGGTAAGTTGACATTCTTGTCTGTAAGAACTTAAATTTTCTGTCTCATCTGCTGATGCTTATGATGTAGCTCTTAGGGTCCAAAAGACCTAGAGGTTCATCTAATGCACAAGCTTATTTCATTGATAGATCTGTCCATTACCATTAAAAATAAGATGCAGCATACTATTGGGAAGTCCTCCAGTACTAGAATACAAATCACATAACCTAGGTGCAAGTAAAGACTGCACTGTGTGGAAGGGATAGGAGGTGAACTAGGACAGCCTAGTAAAAGGGTTCTGAGAAAAAAGGAAAGAGAAATGAGGGTTGCTGAAAAGATGCATGAAATCAAAGATGGAAAGTAGGCAACATGTTGAATTATGGTACGAGTTGTAGCCTAGCATACATCCCATTGCTTACTTACATCTGTAGGATCTGTGCAATTCATTTTAAGAGGACACCACAAATATTCCTAAGTGAAGTAAGTGCATTTGTACTTGTTTCCACGAACACAGTGTTCCTTTGGACCATCTGATATGTCAGACCTAAACAAGGCTTCTTGACATCCAGTTATAAGTTATTTGCATGATTAGGATAATTACCCTTGTTTTGATATCTGCACTCTTTAGTGACTCTGGTAAATTCCCCTGTAATGTCTGCTAATCTCCACCAGCAGCAATGCTGAGGGCTGTTGGAGAACCTCCTCTGTGTATCAGAGGGTTTTGATACTCAACATATATTCTCAGTATCTCCTGATAGAGATAAGTCACTGTTCCCCTTGAGCTTCCTCTTCCTTTTTTTTTTTTTTTTACTTTTGCATACTAGAACATGAAACTTCATCTGAATAACTAGACTGTGACTAGTTTGGTTACTGAATTTTTGTCTAAGCGCATGATCCTTTAAGGTTGAATTAAGGAATCAGTGAGTTGTGTTTCAATCAGTGAATTGTGCAGAGGACTTAACTTTGTGCTTCTGGTGCTTCCAGTGCCTCCTATGTCCTGGCTTGTATCATTGCTTATTGAATTTGAACTTTCTGCAATGTTGGTTGATTTGTGTGTCTAAGTGATAGACTAATTAGAAGATGATGTGATATGATTTCATTCGGAGATGTGCCACAAAGCAGAGGAAGGGCTCAGTACATCACCACAAGTGAAAGAATTACGAAAAGATTCAGTAAAACGAGAACTAAACTTATACATGTGTTAGTAAAATTGCTAGGAATAATACTCTCAACTCTATTCCTTTGGACTACACAGCTTAATGTAATTTGTCCCTGTCTTCACAGTTGCACTTCTGGCCTTGAGGTCTCTTGCAGAGTTCAAGAAGAAAGCAGTATGGACTAAAGCTTATGGGTGGTAGCTGCACGTCTTATCTGATGAAGAAAACTGTCCATACTTGAAAACGTAATATTGCTACTCAGGCATCAATAAGCTGTATTTCAAAGATGTTTCCTATCACAAGATTTTTAATTGGGTTTGGGTTTTTGCCCTTCTGCTTCATCACAAAAATATCTATGAAAAAAAATTTTTTGTCTTTAACTGATGTGTTATTACATTTTGCAAAAGTACTGAATCTAAATGAGAAATATACATTCAGTTTTAATTGAGTTGTTTCAGTGACATCTGGGAACCTCAAAAGCTGGAGTGGAATATTCCTTTAATTTGTGGAAGCTTTGAAGGAACGGCTGAAAATAAAACAAACTAGTAAAACTTGTTTGGATATAGCGTATTTACTAAAATATGTTTTAGTGTAACAGACTTGGAATGAGCATTATTTTTTAAATGACAATACTTCTTTTAGTAATAGCATAATGTTCTTGTGCAGTAGTGACAACACATTATGACTAGATTGTGTGAGCAGGATTTCTGAAAAGGGGTGGTATGCATGTCAGTTTTGCCATGGCTTTATAAAGATCATTGAAATGAGTCGATGATACTGATGGCTGTTGTATCTGCAGCTCCAGGACAGCTGCAATTTTCTTTCCACTTGTAAAAGAGACCATTCTTGTCTCTTTTACACTTCTTTGCACATAACAAGAGTTTTTCTCTGCCTCTAGTGAAAAGGGACAATATAGCAACTCTTTTCCACATTTATCATCTTAAATAGATTAGCCCCTGCTATTTTCCTTATTACTTTTTTCTTTCCGAAGGAACAAAGAATTTTTCAGTTTGCCAAGACATATATTAAAAGAGTTTTTATATTTAGCAATCCTCTTTTCTGAAGTAGACAAAAAATAACTGAAAATAATTGGGCACTGTTCTCTAGTGTCTTTCAAAACAGTACTGGTAAGAGCATTGTTGATTTTTGATCAGTTTGAAGGAAATTATTTTTCCATACATCTAGAAGACACCTTCCCTATTGGAGGAATTATCTTCTTTTCAGGACTAATAACATTTCCTCTGTAAAAGAGGACTTCTTGGTCACTTGGTCTGTTCGCCCTGGAGAAGAGGGAGACTGAGGACAGACCTCATCACAGACTACAAATTCCTCATGAGGGGAAGAGGAGGGGCAGGCACTGATCTCTTCTCTCTGATGACCAGTGACAGGACCTGAAGCAGTGGCAGGGGAGGTTTATGTTGGCTGTTAGAAGGAGGCTCTTCTCTTCCCAGAATAGGCACAGCACCAGCCTGGCAGAGTTCGAGAAGCATTTGGACAATGCCCCCAGGCACAAGGTGTGATTCCTGGGGTTGTCCTGTGCAGGTCCAGCAGCTAGACTTTGATGATCCTAGTGGCCCCCTTCCAACTCAGAATAATCTATGATTCCATTACTCTTTCTAGGGATACTGTGTGAAGGCTGAGCATTTCTTCTTTGATTGGGTGTTTGGAGGATTAATGCAGTACTTGTTTCACTTGTTGTACTTGTTACACTTTCCAAAATAGTGGATAGTTTAGTGGCAGTGGTAGTTTTCTGCTGCATATGCAACTCTATACTGAGAAAACTGTCTAAAGGTGAATGTGCAGAAGGACTCACTGAAAGTCCTTGTCAGTGAGTCTGCCTCTCAGTTCATGACATTTCCATTTGTGTGTATCTCTGAGTAATTTCTAACAAAGCCAAATATGTCACATTTTAATGTTCCATCTCTAATGTACAGTTTCAAACCAACTCATCCATTTAATCATCTCAGTTTGTATGTTTATTAGTGTTTTAACTCAGATGAAATTTTGTCTTTTTTAAAGGGAATCACTGTGTGATGCCAGCTTGGTGTGTTTCAATTTGCATTCATTAACTGAATTCCTCCTGATGTGTAGTAGAAAATGTAAGCCAAGGGTCAGCATAGCATGGCCTGAGGGTCACAATGCTAACAGAGTTGCAAAGAGCACTGAGAGTTTAGGAGAGTATCTGAAATGCTGAACATGAACACCTATGATACAAGAAATAAACAGGATTAACTGGAAGCATTTGTCACCTTCCAAAGCTATGCTGTCACTGGGATTAGTGAGACTTTGTAGAATGAGTCCAATGATGGGAGTGCTGGCTTGCAGGACTATAGGCTGTTCAGGAAGGATAGTCAAGGCAGGCAAGGCAAAGGAGTTGCATTGGAAGGCACAGTTTTCACTGTACATTCCTTGCAGTTAGGGATAATGTGGTTGAAAGCCTCCAAGTAAGAATTAGGGAGATGGAAAGCAAAGCAGATACCATTGTAAGTGTCTACTGCTGTTCACTCAGCCACAGTGCTAGCACTGATTAAATAATCTATGGGCAACAAGGAGAAATCTCTGGTCCATTAGTCTTGTTCTTACAGAAAATTTCAGCTTCTGGACATCTATTGGAAATGCCAGACAACTGTGGCAAGGAAGTCTGAGAAATTCCAGAAGTGTGTTGAAGATAATTTCTTGTCCCAAGTATTCATTGAGACAACTAGGAAGGATGTCCCCTCCTCTACCCCTCCCCCCATCCCTAACTTGCTGTTCATGAATAGAGAGGGAGAAGATGGGATTTTTAGGTGGCTGTTTTGGGCACAGTAATAATGAGTTTAAATTATGAATTTAAATTTTTTGGTGTAACTGAGAAACCAGTCAGCACAGTTGCTATCCTAGATTTCAGGATAACAAATCTTAAACTGCTCAGGGAGCTAGTTAGCAGTGTCCTCTGGGAATCTGATTTTCAGGACTTAGAGATCCAGAAGTGCTGGTCCATCTTTAAGAAAAACCTTTTAGAAGCACAGTAGCAAGCAAATCACACTATTCCAGAAGTCAAGCAGGAAGAGCAGAAGAGCAGCTTGGCTGAACAGGAAACTCCTCTTGGAACTCGGGAAGAAAATAAATGGTATGATCTGTGTAAGACAGGTCATGCCTCACAGGATTGTTACAAAGCTGTGGTTCCCATGTCGAGGGAGAAAACACAGAAGTCCAAAGCTCAGAGTTGAAACTGGCCAGTGTTGGGTCAGATAAAGCAAGTCTGAGTATGTTTAGAGCAAGAGGAGATTTAAGGAAAATATTCAACCAATTCTTGATGAAGGTAGTCACCTGAAAAAAGGATGAAGAGAAGGCAGAGGCATTATAATGCTTTTGCATCAGTCATTAATAACATCAATATACATTAGTCTGGCCAGTCTTCTCGGTTAGAGGACATGCAGTAGCAGTGACTTTCCATTTCCGGACACTGAAATTCAAAATGATCAGGTATATCAGTTTAATCTTTGTAAGCCCATGGGTCCTGATGGGATTTGTCCCAGAGCACTAGAAGAGCTATCTCTTGGGAGTCTGGGGAGATCCCTGCTGACCAGAAACTGGCCAACATTAATCCAGTTTACCAGAAGGGCATGAGGCAAGACACAGGCAGCTACAGACCTGTTAGTCTAATCTCATTACCAGGGAAAATTTGCAGAGATCATACTGGGTACTATTGAAAGGCATTTTAAGAACAATACAACCCTTAAGTACAGTCAACATGAGTTCACAAAGGGAAAGCCCTGAGTAACTCATCTGATACCCTTCTATGACACAGCCACCCACCTAGTGGGGTTTTTGATACTGTCCCTTATGACATCTGTCTGAACAAGCTGTTCAACAGTGAGATGAGTGGGTTTGTGGTGCACTGGTTAAAGAATTGGCAGAATGGCAGAGCTCAAAGAGTTGTAGTGCATGGGGTTGACAAAGTCATCCCCAGTGTTCCTCATTCAAATTCAAGATTCAAATCTAGCACCAGTTCAGTTCAATGTATTTATCCATGATCAGGAGGCAGGAGTTGAATGCACCATTAGTATGTTTGTTGAAAATACTGAGCTTGAAAGTTGCTGTTGACTCTTGAGGACAAGAGACCTTGCAGAAAGATGTGGATACATGAGCATTTGGCTTTGATTAATGGCATGAAATGTAACAAGTTAAAGTGGTGCATTCTGCATCTGGTACGGAGTAGTGCCTGATACAAGTCTAAATGGATAGAGGAGTGGCTGGAGAGCAGCCCTGCATAAAGAGATCTGGAGATGCTGGTGTCTCAATATACAACCATTTAAGTTCACAGAATCACAGAATTATTGGAGTGGGAAGGGACCTCTGTAGGGCACTCTCCTCATTGGCTCCTCCACCACTTGGATTAACAGGAACTTGCTGTATCTGCAGGAACTTGCTGGACTGTGTTCCAAGCCACATTGTGCCTCAAAATACCAGGGTTGTTGAATTCTCAGAGGAGGACCAAGGCCCATGATCTCAAGGCTACTTCCAGCTGCCCATAGAAGCCTCATCAACTTCCTTATCTGAGTCACCCATTTTAGCCTGTCCCTGAATTTTTACCCATAAGATCTCAATTCCTTGTCTGTCCCTGGGCAAAGCTTGATGTTCTTTCACATAAAGACCAACTCCACTGCCTCACCTCACTGACCTGTCCTTTCTAAAAAGTACACAGGAATCCATGACAACATTGCAGTGGTGAGCTATCCCACCATGTCTCTGAAATTGCAGTGAGATCATGGCTCTGTGACATAGATTTCCAGTTCTTGTTTATTCCCCCTGATTTGTGCATATGTGTACACACACTTCAGGGAGGTAGTCGAGCATCCAGGTTTCCTAGGAGGGGTGTAAGAGGATTCCCCATAGCCATACACACCCTTGATGTGGATAGCCCTAGGACTCTCATCTTGAGGCAGCCAAGCTTGCCTGGCTGGCATGGCCATTCCCCAGGAGAAAGCAGTGTCATGAGCACTGCCACTTTGGACCCCAGCCAAGTCATTCTGTTTAAAGCCCTCTCACCAAATTGGCCAATCTGTTGCCAGAGCTTCTTTTGCTCTTTTTTGAGTCCCTTCCTAACAGGCTACAATCACTGAAGTACAATTCATTGTCATAAAAGCCATTGTCTTAAACATCTTTTCACCTGCCCATTTCTGAGCTTTTCCAGAAACTTAGGTGAGGCATTGGAGCTGAAGTTACAGTGGCCTTTTTTAGGAAGGCTGACTGCCCCAAGTTACCTCTAGAAAGAGGTGGGGAAGTCTTCCGTCATGAGTTTCATGCCTTTTTCATGCAGTTTACATTTTGGGGTCCTCTCCATAGTGAATTTTAAAGAATCCTTTTCCTATTCCATCCTTTTACCCAGCGGTAAGATTCAAGACATAACATTTTTTTTAACATAAAACAGTAAACGTGGCTTAATCTGTGATAGGTTTGACCTCAGCTGGCTTCCAGATGTCCGTTCAACCCCATCTCCTCAACAGGACATTCATTCTCCCTCCTCCTCCTCAACAGGACAGGGAGAAAATAGGATGAGAAAGTTCATGGGTTGAGATAAAAACAGAGTGATCATTTACTATTCACTGTCACAAAACAGATTCAACTTGTGGAAGAAAAATTTATTGCTAATTAAAAATAGAGTAGGATGGAAAGAAAAAAGGCAAAACTAAAATTACCTTTCCCCTATGCCTCCCTTCTTCCTATGCTCCCTTTACTCCTTCATTCCTTCATTTTGTACCTCCTACCTCCCCAAGCAGTACAAGGTGGGTGTGGGGGTTGCACTTGGGTAATAAACCTTAATCTCAGCTGCTTGTTTGTCTTCACACTGTTGCTCTGCTCCAGCATGGGGTCCCTCCCATGGGATACAGTCCTTCACAGTTTCTTCTCACAAGCTGCAGCTCTTGAAGCACTGCTCTCGCATAGGTTCTTTCCATGGGGCACAGTCCATTGGGAAAAAACTGCCTCAGTGTGGGTCCCTAATGGGCCACAGTTCTTGTTGTGCTTGTGTGGGCTCTTTGTGGGCTGCAGCTTTCCTCAGGGCACAGCCACTGGCTCCAGCCTGGCATCCTCCAAAGGCTGCCATGTGGATATCTTGTCTGGTGTGTTTCTCCATGGCTTGCAAGGGGGCAACCTGGTACACCATGACTCTCAGGGTAATCTGTTGCAGTGCCTAAAGTAGCTCTTCGTCACCTTCTCCACTGATGTTGGTGTCTACTGAGCTGTTTCTCTTACATTTTTCTTACTCTTCTTTCTTGCAGCTGCTACATAACATTTCTTACCTTTTCTTAAGTTTTCAGAGAGAAGCCATGCCATGATCTTTGCAGCATCCTGCAGAGGCTTAGTCTTAGAACTGGGTGGAACCAGCTGTTTCTGGCATGTTGGATTGAATTTACAAGGAAAAAAATTTATGCTTCAACTTTAGCAAGTTATATAGTGGTTTAATGTGGACTTAATCTGACAGTCTTCAAAACTGTTACCTTATTCAGCTGTTCTATATGTTTCTTCACACTGTTAACACTTGAATCCATTTGGGTCAGACAGAAGCCCACGGTGAAAGCACTCCTGTTTCTCTACTAAGTTCCAAATTTCTGGAATGGTTTGAAAAAAAACTAATCCAGCGTTGACACTATACTATTGTATGCATGATCTTGTTCCTTATGGCCCGCAACTACTTGATGGTCAAAATAGTCTGCAGGCATTGTCTGCCACAATTATTAAATAAATAAAAATTATAGTAGGTGACCTTTCATAACAAATTAATTTAGCTTCACTGTTTCCTTATATAACCTCTTAGGCTGCATGGCTTGAAAAGTCATACAGGCAAAAGCCTCTTCATATTGTAACAGTGTTTAGTCCCCCTTTAAATATTACCTTCTCTCCTACTCCCATTATCTAGGCCCCCTTCCCACAGTTTTCAGTCAGAAAAAAAAAAAAGATAGCCTCACTTTTGTCCCCCACATGCTTGAGTTGAAATGTAGGTCATAATCAATACAGATGAAACGTCAGAAAAGCTCCAGCCAGCCTCTAAGGAATTATTTGGCTATTTTTGCCTATTCCACTGGATTGCTGCATATATTCCTCTTTCCCAACCTTTGAGAAAGCTGCATTCTATTTGCATTCTTACATATTATTCTAGAGGAGTATGAGGAGCAATACAGTTGAGTAAAATGCCTAGAATTTTGCACATGGCTTTTGATAGTCATTCAGATCCCTTTTAGGAACAACATATTTTTTGACCTGACTACATCACATTTATTTTGCATGTATCTGTCTGCAGTTCAGCGTGGAAGAAAATCATTGTGAGGGAAGAGACTGATATGCCAAACACATGATTATAACTGTTTATTTCTGACCCTTAAACATCCCCCTGAATATATAGTAGATGAGTACAGTAACACTTGCCTTTCTGATTTAGCTGCATTTGCTGGAACCTTCTTCTGATAACTGAAGTATGAGGCCAGAATGTGAAGGATCCTTAGTGAATGCCTGTGTTAATCAGCATGTTTGTCTCTAGGCTGCAAAGGTTCTGATTTCTGCTCTTTGAGAGATTCCAGTTCTAGCTAATTTAGCATTTGGTTATTATGTGAAGTACATACATGTTGGCCTAGTATAAAGTAACCTTAGAGGTGAAATGATACTGTCATTACAGAATATCTATAGTTAATGAAATAAGAATTAACACTGAAATAAGGGTGTAGCTGTGAGTTGCGGCACTCTCCAATTTTTTCAGAATTCCATAACATATGCTAGAAAAAAACATTAATTTTAAAAACTGGCCACTTGATCTCAAAACATTCAAAAGTTTTCAAAAGCTGCTCTATTTTTGAGGTGCGTTCAAGAGATCTGCCTTTTCTGAAAATTCTATACAGCCAGATAATGTTCATGCACAGAGGAGTTTTGCATTGAGAAATCTTTGTCCAGTTTGGTTTTAACTATGATGTGCAGAAATCCCCATGGAATATATTTTGTCTTTCCAAACAAAATATCAACTTAGCTTCTTTTGTTTTTGATGTTTCCTGTCCCTAGGTGTGCCATTCTCTCAGAGAAGAGGTTCTGGATGATAAAGCACATACCTGAATCAAAACACAAAACAGTGTAAGAACAAAGGAGTAGAATTCAAACTGTCTTCAATTTATTTAGAAGGAACTGTAAGAGCCTTCAACCTTGCACAGTTCCTTACATGTACTTAGGAACAGAACACTACATCATGAGATCCTTCAAATTCACATTAAAACCCCATGACAGAACAAAGACTTCTGTATGATGCAGCTAAATTCAGTTGAAATTTTCCCAAAGTATTTTGATGAGAAAGAGAAGGGATCTGTTTACACGCAGGTTTTGGAATGGCCTTGTTTTATCATGCCTTTAAATAATCATGCTGTAAAAGTCTTAATTTAGATATAACTTCTCATCCCAGCTAGGAGTTATGAGTGAGGAAGAGTTGCACAGAACCAGAGTATGATCAAATAGGAATTTATTTTTTTTAAAAAAACCAAACAAAAAAGGAAGTTTCACTAAACAGCTGCAAGTCTAGCATCACTGAAACAACTTATATAGGTTTGTGGTTTTATGCATCATATGTATGGTGTACTTTGAAAATTTAACTATTTGTATTTGAAAGATACTGGAAATCAAAACAGGAAGTGATGCACTTTCCTGCAGTGATCTGCAGGAGATGTAGCAGAGAGAGTTAGAGTTTGTGAAAGGCTCAGCATGGATTTAATTTTTTGTTGCCATTGGCATCCCAGTTGCGTTGAGACCCAGCTTTCTGGAAGACAAGATACTTACCTGCAAAGAGCACTAGCAGGTACATTTTCAGAACATAGGGGAAGTAGATTGAGAAGGTGAATGGAAATGGTAGCTTGATCGAGTATGTGCCAAAGGATTCAAAATAAGGCAGTGATACACAAATTGCAAATCCTGTAAAAACATGTTAAGTCCTTAGTCTAAAGGAAGTAGAAGATCATCAAAAAGCTTAATGAACAACTCAGTTACCATTAATATTTTATATACCTATCCATACATATGCATTCATATAAATATGCATGTTTTCTCCTTGAGTTTAGTTGTATAGGTTTGGGGTGCTAATCGCTCTAAATACTAGAATTAGTAAGTATATTCTATTCACTAACAAGTTCTGTCAGAAACAAATGCTTTCAGTGGGCAGAGTTCTTGATGTAGGTAAGGTAACTTGCTAAGTATGGCCTGAGCCAGTAAGGTCAGTCTCAGTGGGGGAGAGGCTTTGGAACTTTCTGTCTAGTGTACTCAGTGTGGAAGGGAGGAATCCATATGTCTTTTATGAAGATTGCTTTCTGCTTTACAAAAAATAACACTTTCCCATATTTTAAAAAAACTTAAACAAAATCAAGAAAACAAAAAACCCCAAAACCTACCAGACACACAAGCCCCAAATCCCAGATAGTCCCCATTAAAGAAAAAATAACAGAAAAGTGAGACAGAAGTGACATACATTAATATGAAGGTACATGAACATTTACGACAGCTTTGGCAACACATGAGGAACTATTTTAAACGAAACAGCAAATCACATTTTACTGAAGAATACTAAGGAGGCAAGTAGTTGGTACCCTTCCCACTTCCTTACCTTCAGCCAGAACTGAAAGGGGATAAAATGGGATGCACAGTGAGAAGTTGAGCCATGTTAGTGGTAGGTAGTATAGGCCCATCCTTGCCAGCATGTTGTAAGTGTACCTGCAATAAGAGGAAAGCAGATGAGCTCAGAGGAAATTATGATGTCTTTGGAATAAAGATATACTATTGGAAAATTCAGAGGAATTTCAGAAGAGCTTGGAGCTGTCTGAGTAAATTTCAGAGCCAGCAACAGTTTTTGTTCAGACTCCAATCCCTGAAAGTAGATGGTCCATTTTTTCAGAAGAGTTATCT